TATGGTGACAGAGCAACAAAAAGTCACCAAGTACCTTACAACCTACATGGTACCACGGAGCCTCAGTGTGTGTGTGTGTCCGTTTCAGTACATTGGGCTCAAAATTCTCTTTCGGGCTTAGGATTCTCTTTTAGTTTTTGTTCTTTTTTTGGGTGGGGATAGGGGGCGCCCATAGCCCACCATACAGAGCATCATCGAGCCCACAGGTGTGTGTGTTTAAAGAGCACACCACCCCCACGACCGCGTCGCGGCATGTTGCGCTACAGCTCATGCCCGAAAAACAACATTACACCGAGAGCTATACCAAGTTCAAAAATGACACCCCAACAGGATGGATAGCATAGCAGACACCATCACATTCATACACCTCCCCTTCCTTTTCCAAGAAAATACATATACACAGCCGTATGCAAGAGAACTGGGCACGTCAGAACAACCAAAAAGTAGGCAGGATTTCAACGAAGCAGAGGGGCGACAGTGCCCACTCATGTACTGGTGCAGTATCCTCAACAAAAACCAATGACCACAGTAGAATGGTTCCAGCAACATGGATATTTTAATCAAAAAACGATCCGCACCGGTGGTAGATGAAACAAATAGCCAGAGGGTGGCTAGTCACAGGTCATATGCGAGTATCACATCAAGTTCGACAAAAAAAATGCTCACTCAACACCAGGCACAACACAAGGGTTGGTTTCACAACAATTTATAACGAAGCACCCTCACAGGTGCTGGAGACAAAGCGCTCCACCATGGACCAGCTCCATGAGTGTGCACCGACCCTCAGCCCCTCTCCACTGCAGTCACCTCGTATATCCTCCACTGTTGAAAACCCGGCTGCCTAACTACCACTCGATGAGGGTGCACACTCCCTTATGGGCGCTCCATACTTTCTCTCTTGTAGTATATGAAAAAAGTAGTCACAGGGTAGCTAATCTCAGGTCATACGCGAGCACCATTCCCAACGCCAGCCACAACACGAAGGCCGGTCCTGCAATGATTCGTAGCAAAGCACTCCCACAGGTGCAGGAGACGGCGTGCTCCATCGTGGACCGACCCATGAGTGTGCGTCTATTCACGCCCCTACCCAACCACTGCTACCTCCGCATAACTCCCCTTCCGCCAGAAACCGGTTGCCCAACCACCATTCATGAGGGCGCATACTCTACATACTGCCTCCGTCCTCCCGGACCATATGCGAGACGCAAAGGCAACAGTGACAATACCCTGCCATACCCAGGTGAAACAAGAATGTTCCGTCAAATACTCCCTACGCACCAACAAACCACTTCGAGTCCATACATCAGTATGAGTAGATGCTTAACAATGCGCCAACTAGGCGAGCAACTAGTCACGTAAGCTCTGATAATACCATGTGCACCGGCTGAGGAGAACACTAAGTGGCATGTATGATTCCAGTCTATAACCATCATCAATCCCCACTTTGCCCACCATCCAAGTTTATTTCGTGAAAAAAATGGTACTTGATCATCACGCCTACCCTTAGTCCTTCCTTCTCCCCAAGGATCATCCACACGGTAGGGTCGCTGCTTCCCCACCATCCTCCCCCAACTCGTCGTAACATGCTTCCCCCACCCATGCAACCACTGAGAAACGCCCTAGATAGTCGAGCCATTACCCACGGTAATCCCGACAGCACTGGACACACAGGCCGGGGAGAGTTATAAGTGATAAGCATCAATTCAACATAATATCATTGTCATCACTAACGCCGCTAATTCATATACAAACCCCATCACCCATAAAAAACAACAACAACAGTCCTTGATTGCTCCACCAGCTCTCAACCTCCTCCCTACACTCCTCTGTAAACCCAACGCCCAACCAGGCGTAAAACCCGAAATTCATTTATGCAGAGAAATACACCCAAGCTTGGATCGAGAACAACAGTCCAAGATCCTGGAGACAATCCTGCCACCAGGACGATGATGCCCGGGTAGGAAGGAGTTCACTCCCCTGGAAGAAAGTAGCAAACCAATCCCATACAACTTCGATTCGGAGGTTGGGAATAGCACAACCGGTGATCCGCAGCCAAAAAGCAAAACAAGAACCAATAGGCTATGATGACGTAGGCCCGTTACGCACCGCGATCAACTACGATAAGTAACAGTTAATATCAGACGCCTCCTCACCGCTACAAAACAGGGCAAGCATCCACCCTACTCGCTCCACAGGGCCATGCAGACATCGGTCATCACATTATGCGTTCCCGCAGCAAGCCCTCCACCGCCGCATCTAAAATCCAAACTCGCCACACATACTATCGTAGAGTGCCTAGAAAGTGTCAAACCAGATAGCTAGGCAGGGGACAGATTCATCACCGAGAACTGCGCTACTGCTCACCTCCTTTCATCCCAACAGCCGTCGTGCACAAATAAGCACTCCCTCATCATCCGGTAGGTACCCCATCTATTACACAGGCCCCATGAGAGCAACGTTCAGCAACACGCATCTCAACGACCACCGATCCTGCCCCATTGTCCAAGACGTGAGCAGGGCCGAAAGGCTACTCTTGATAGACGAAAAACGGGACACGAGGAGCATGTGGCCAAACCCAGCCTGCGACTAAGGAAAGTAATGCAAACTCGTGAAGGAGCAGCCAAAGGGCCGACGCAACGACGCTTATAACGCACGGCGAAGGTAAGTCCAGGGGGCTGCTCCAGCAGGTACGAGGGGGATGGGTGCAAGATACCCATGTTGCGCCTGCCAGGAGGCATGCTGATAGGAAAGTGAACAGGGCTGAAAAAAGGAGAAGGAGGAGGAAGAGGGGGAGGGGTAAAGGGAGGGTCCACTGCCACGGCGCCATAGTGTCCATAATCCTTGGGCATAAAAGTGGGCGATCCTATGCCTGTGCTACTTGCTGGCAGAAAATCTCTCAGAGGAGAGGATAGCGACATGTCAACCGGTCAACCTACACCTCTTGCTCAGCGTAGAGGACACATTTCGGCATACTCTAGTGTCCGAGATCGATCGTGCCATTTGCAGGTCAAAAAACGATAAGAACGCAAGGTACGCCATGAAGGCAATCAGAAACATCAGGGCTGCGTGGACGTAGGAGAGCAACTCCATGGCAGGAATCTTGGTAAAGCTCCTTCAGGCAGTGCACTCAAAACTCCAGAGAAGACGCATACAACAGGGCCTACGAGAGCAATCACTCACACCACAATTCGCACATGCATAGAAACCAGATCGCGATGGTTAAAGCAAATCATTATTTTTTTCTAACTCTGATTTAAAAAAACGGTGGAATGCAAAACAAAGGAACAGAATAGAGTACTGAGAGAGAGACATAGAGTAAGGTCCCATTTTAGTCGAACGACCCTAAGAAACCGACGAATGGATAGAGGTCGATGAAGCTCGCTTTAAAGTACTTTTCACCGGTCTTCATCCCACCGGATCATCAAAGAACAAACCCTCTCCCATGGCGTACCAAAAGGGACATGGTTCTACACGGGCATGGCCCAGAACCGTAGATTTTCGGATTATAGACAAACATAGACGGAACAAAAAGACACACCATTCATAAACGGGATGTATGAGACCTCATTGCGCAGGGTGGGGGTCAGGGGGTGGGTGGTGGGTACAATAGAACGAGTGGCGGAAATTTTACCGCTCCGAGCGCCATCACTCAGGCTAGCTCGTAGAAGAAGAACGCAGCGGCAGCTTCGGGAAAATTCAGCAGCGGAGTAGTTCCCTGGTAATCAGAAGAGACTCCGAGGGAGAAAGCACATCCGAAAAACAGCGAGCGCACTTCGGCCAGGAAGGAGCGAAGCAGGGCGAAAACTCCGGCATAAGGCAGGGAATAACCTTCACCGTGCGGGGTGATTCAACGATGGAAGCGCACAGCGATTGGTAATGGGGGCGCAGGACGTACCCGACCGATAGATGTCACAAGTGAGAGTCGCGAGAAGCAGTCTAGGTATGCAAGAGGCATGCGCTCTAGAAAGCAGCGGAGCAGCGTAGGAGCGAGTGTTCGAGTAAGCACAACACCCACCCCTGGGGGTCAGTGAGCTTGCTCAAGCTGTCGAGAACCATCAATGAGCAAACTCACCGGGCCAGGCAGAAAGCGTTGCGCCACTCAAGAATGAGAGGTCGTTTACAGCAGCGCGCCTGTGTTATATACAATCACTATATGATTCGTGGGCCAGGGCCCCCTGCGCGGTGGGTTCGCCAGGAGGCGGGCCAATGGGTCGTATGCCACAAACGAGCTACTCGGTAGCCTCCCAGAAGGGTTTCAGTTCATTAACAGGGAACCGGCCAGCGCAGGCTGCAAGGTCTGTAATCCTCGTCCCTTAAGAGGGGGCTCCGACCACCATTGTGAAGTGGGGAGGCACCAGGAAAAATAACGCCAGGCCCTACACCCGGTTGGACGGCCGCCCTTCCGGGGTGGCCAGGGCCTATTAGAGGCATACTTCACATATCTGACGACAGGGAAGTTGAGGGACAGTCTTTTGTCAAATTTACCCGTATAGTAGGTGCCAACTGTGTTCGAGGTGACTGTGATCTTATAATTGAGGAATCGCGCTTTGATACCGTACAATTCCCTAGACTCGGTGATTTCAAAAATCTCGTTCTGATTTTTTACCTCAATGAGGTGACGCGGATAAAGAGAGAACAGACTCGGGTCTTCAACAGTAGGTGGGGATTCCAAAAATTTCAGAATAGAAGGGTCGTTAAGGGAGTGGAGGTCATCAATGTATCTGAAAGTGTGCTTGAAAAAGGGAAGGAGATGAGAAGCCCTTCAATCGGCCAGGCGCATGATCAAGCCATACTCGTACTTGAAGAAATAGATTGTGCACCAAATGGGTGAACATGGCAAGCCCATTGGAATCCCTAAAGTCTGCCTCCACACTCTCTGTCCGAAAGTTGTAAAGCACCTAGCCACTAGTCACTTGGTGAGCATATCAACGTCCTCACAGTCAAGCCATAGGACTTTGGGGGAGGGGGGGCGTTTTCCTCCTTCTACAACGAAGCATTTAACGTGTCCATTGCGAGAGAACTTACACTTCACCGAACTGCCACCCCGCCCACCTGGGGCATTCTTGAATGTCATCTTCACAAAGAAGGTTACTGCAGCGTTAAGGCTATCTTCTGAGGAATCAATCGAGATGGTTTCAAAACACCTGGTGATATCACGAGAAAAAACCAAAAACACACTCTCAGGCAGGTTATAGCAGAGTAGTCCTTGACGGACTCAATAGCCCACCAGATGGTTGTGTCCACGCCATGGAACCCCAACAGTCCATCAACGATGATCTTGCATTGGGCCATGACTATGGGGGTCAGACACTTGAGGACTGCGTCACATAGGGAAGCGACCGGGGTTAGGAATGTTGAGGCGGCATTGGTGAGTCACCAAAACGCGAGTTTGTGGTGTTTGTATAAAGCCATGAGGTAGGGCAGCTTCCTCGGAGGCCCGGACCAAGGGTGCAGCCAGGGAGAGAATGGGCCAAAGACTCCTCCGCTTCCTCTAGTATAAGGTCAGGGGGGAGGGGGACAAACTCAAAATCTTTGTTGCTGAGTCTCTCCAAGGCCAGCTTTCTGACAAGGTGGATGCACACAAAGGAGACAGTATTAGGGGACTTGTCAGTCCCTGCAGAAAACATGTGCTTCGCCAGGAAATCGACCTCACATCTAACCGCGTACATGTTAAGCTCGCACTGGGGATCGGAAATTCTTCCCAGGTTACCAATCCCCAATTGGGCCCTGACCCTTCCAACAACAAAGGACGTAGCCTTGGACCGCATTCCACCTATGACCAGCATTCATCCACTCAAAAAAACACAAATAGCCTTCTATGATCTAAGATACTCCCGAAGTGCCAGCAATGGATTCCATGGGTGAAAAGGGATGTGGTTCAATCCCGGAGCAAAGAGACTACGTAACTTCGGGAGGGCAGAGATGGAGGGGTCGAGGGAGAGGACGTGGGTGGAGGGACTGGAGAAGGGTTGGGACATCATTCGTGTGCACGCATGGTGAAATGGCAGAAAGCGTTTGGTGGAGCACAAGCAGGACGGAAAGTGAGCACAAAAATCAACCCTCCAAAACAAAATTCCGGAATACCATTGCTGGTCTATACACAAGAGTCTCAAGTGATTTCAGATAAGTCCAACCAATCACCACAGACGATAACAACTCTCTGGCTCCGGTAGGGAAGAACTGTTCAACAACAATCTCAAGGATAGATCTTAATTGCACCCTCTCCATGATCCGGCTGGTGTATACCATATGTACAAAGAAAGCCTTCTCATCGGGAGAAGTCTTCAGCCACTTATTACGCCCAGAAGGATCACGAGCCATGAAGCCCCCCTCAACACCATCCTGCACATCCAGGTCAGATCACAGTACATGCACTGATTAGGATCAAAACAACACAGCCTTGAGGTCAGCTCTTCCTCTTGGGCTCTTCCTAGTAGACCTGCTGGACGCGGAAGCCTGGCCATCCTCCTGCACCGTCACCGTGGATGAGGGAGGGGTGGAGAAGACCCCCCCAACCATCTGCTCGTTGGGCTTTTCGATGTAAAACTCCAGCCTGGTCTGTTGGGTTGTCTTCAACTTCTTCGCAGCAGGATTCGAAGAGGAGGTCTCCTTCCTCCTCTTGTCCGAGGAGCGGACATACCAAGAGGGAAGCACCAATTTTGCCATCGTCCTTGGGAACTTGTGGAGCATAACGGTGGGGTCGTCCAGAATGGTCTGCGGCGTCTTAGAGGGATTGATCACAACACTGTGGGTCATCTTCACCATCACCTCCCTCATGTGAAAAAAAACCACGGAGGCTAGGATTGGAGCACGCCACGCAGTCCTAGCCCTGACTCTGAAGGCACGAGCACGCACCCTGAGCGAAGGGGCTTCCGGGAACAGATAGTGCATATCGGACAGTAAGTACCAGAGAACGTGGTCAAACCACGTGATGTTCTTGCCACAGTCCCCCTTCCCCCGCTCAATACATCAACACTTCAAGTAAGGCCTCCCAACGTTCCAAATGCGCTTCAGCTCCGCTATCGCCGACTGGACTCTAGGACCCATAAACCCCCTAATAGAGAGTGCGGTGTTTGATACTGTACACTTAGTGCGATCAAACTCACCAACCGTGGGGAGCATCATGTTTTCTGCTGTGAGGGGGAAATCCCCTTTGCACAAGTCTGTGTTCTCCGTGAGCGCCTTCTCACTACATTTCAGCATCTCTTGGTCAGTGAGGGATGCGAGGAAACGGTAGGAGTCAGAGTGGATCGGGGCAACATAGTTGAATGTTGGGAGATCCCACAGTTTATCCTCAACCTCCCTCGACTGCGACTCCACCCATCTAGGCGATACAGTGGGCAAGAACGCATTGCGGGCATACTTGCTTACCTCCACCGCCTGGTTAGCAGCGATAGCCTTCAGTTTCTCTTTCTTTTCCTTCGCCGATAGGTTGGCATGATATCTCACCTCCTCCTCCGTGAGTGGCAGAGCGTCCTCCCCTTCCTCCGCAGAATCAGATCCCCCTAGGTCATCAGAGACCGATGTGTCCTTTACGACCAACCCAGTATGGAAGTTAGATTCAGCCCCCCAAAGGTCTACAAAGACCTTCTCCTTCATGGCAAGATCATCCCTAACGCGGAGCTTGACCAGCTCATCCTCCTCCGAGATATTCTGAGACTGAGTCACGAGAAATTCAGTGAGCTTGAGAAAAAACTGCTTATCATGAGCGGCTGTCCACAATAGATCAGCCCAGTGATCAAAAGAGAGGAGGGAGATTAACGGGACTTTGGTCCCAATGGAATGGATGCGTACAAACTCGAGGATCCTAGGAGGAGCTAAAGAAATAAAGGCCTGCGCAGGTCTCGAAGGTGCCGAGAACGAATCTATCCACCTGGAATCATTGGTCAGCAGATCAATGTACCAGCCATTCTCCGAAAACAAAGGAACCTATCCACATGGCGATCAACAATATGTCAAGGATAATTCAAAAAACGATTGTCGGGTATGAGGACGAAAACTGAGGGGCGATTTAGTGGTGGGTAGCAGCCCATCATGTCCTTGATCAGAGGCTGTCCCGTAACTTTAAATCATAGCTCGGAAAATGTCGGTAAGCATGCATATAGACAACAACATGGCGACAGGGAATCTGACCCCATCGCTGGTACAAAGAGGTAGGCTCTATGTGTGTTTACAGAATACACCACCCTTACGACCTCGTCGCGACATGTTGCGCTACAGCTCATGCCCAAAAAACAACACTACACCGAAAGCTATACCAAGTTCAAAAATGACACCCCAACAGGATGGATAGCATAGCAGACACCATCACATTCATACACTTCCCCTTCCTTTTCCAAGAAAATACATATACACAGCCGTATGCAAGAGAACTGGGCACGTAAGAACAACAAAAAAGTAGGCAGGATTTCAACGAAGCAGAGGGGCGACAGTGCCCACTCATGTACTGGTGCAGTATCCTCAACAAAAACCAATGACCACAGTAGAATGGTTCCAGCAACATGGATATTTTAATCAAAAAACGATCCGCACCGGTGGTAGATGAAACAAATAGCCAGAGGGTGGCTAGTCACAGGTCATATGCGAGTATTACATCAAGTTCGACAAAAACAATGCTCACTCAACACCAGGCACAACACAAGGGCTGGCTGTGTAACACCCCGTACGATGTACGGGGGGTTTATCGTACGGTCGTACGTACGGCTGTACGACCGTACGTACAGCCCCGTACGGGAAAAAAAAAAAAAAAAAAAAAAACGTTTTATTTTTTTATCTCAAATTAAGTAACAAATATCAATAGGACCCTGAGGCAAAAGTGTTTCAGTTTATTTTTCTGCATGACATATTTTTTTGTCAGATTTTTTTGAATTTTTTTTTTCGCTTTTTTTCCCGTACGTACGCCCCGTACGACCACATGAGCCCGTACGGACGGCCCGTATTCGTACGGGGGTATACACATAGGGCTGGTTTCGCAACAATTTATAACGAAGCACTCTCGCAGGTGTTGGAGACAAAGCACTCCCCCATGGACCAGCTCCATAAGTCCGCACTGACCCTCAACCCCTCTCCACTGCTGTCACCTCGTATATCCTCCACCGTTGAAAACCCGACTGCCTAACTACCACTCGATGAGGGTGCACACTCCCTTATGGGCACTCCATATTTTCTCTCTCGTAGTATATGAAAAAAGTAGTCACCGGGTAGCTAATCTCAGGTCATACGCGAGCACCATTCCCAACGCCGGCCACAACACGAAGGCCGGTCCTGCAATGATTCGTAGCAAAGCACTCCCACAGGTGCTGGAGATGGCGTGCTCCATCGTAGACCGACCCATGAGTGTGCGTCTATTCACGCCCCTACCCAACCACTGCCACCTCCGCATAACTCCCCTTCCGCCAGAAACCAGTTGCCCAACCACCATTCATGAGGGCGCATACTCTACATATTGCCTCCCTCCTCCCGGACCATATGCGAAACGCAAAGGCAACAGTGACAATACTCTGCCATACCCAGGTGAAACAAGAATGTTTCGTCAAATACTCCCTACGCACCAACAAACCACTTYGAGTCTATAYATYAGTATGAGTAGATGCTTAACAATGCACCAACTAGGCAAGCAACTAGTCACGTAAGCTCTGATAATACCATGTGCACGGGCTGAGGAGAACACTAAGTGGCATGTATGATTCCAGTTTATAACCATCATCAACCCCCACTTTGCCCACCATCCAAGTTTATTTCGTGAAAAAATGGTWCTTGATCATCACACCTACCCTCAGTCCTTCCTTCTCCCCAAGGATCATCCACACGGTAGGGTCGCTGCTTCCCCACCATCCTCCCCCAACTCGTCATAACATGCTTCCCCCACCCATGCAACCACTGAGAAACGCCCTAGATAGTCAAACCATTACCCACGGTAATCCTGACAGCACTGGACACACAGGCCGGGAAGAGTTATAAGTGATAAGCATGGCTTCAGCATAATATCGTTGTCATCACACACGTCGCTAATTCATATACAAACCCCATCACCCGTAAAAAACAACAACAACAGTCCTTGATTGCTCCACCAGCTCTCAGCCTCCTCCCTAGACTCCTCGGAAAACCTAATGCCCAACCAGGCTTTAACCCCGAAATTTATTTATGCAGAGAAATATACCCAAGCTTGGATGGAGAAAAGTGGTCCAAGATCCGGGAGACAATCCTGCCACGAGGCTCGGAGGTCGGGAATAACACAAGTGATGATCCGCAGCCGAAAACCAAACAAGAACCAATAGGCTATCATGACATAGGCTCGTTACGCACCAAGATCAACTACGATAAGTAACAGTTAATATCGTACGCGTCCTCACCGCGACCAAACAGGGCAAACATCCACCCTACTCGCTCCACCGGTCCATCCAGACAT